GCAGTATTTATAGCTTCTGCCCAAAAGTTTTTGGCTATCCCACTATCAATAAACATTGTTCTGGCCATATCTTCAAGGGTTCTGTTCTTACTTTCTACAACTCCATTTTGTTGTGGAGTTCTTGGAGCTGAGAAGTTGTGGGTGATGCCATTTTCACTGCAGAATTCATCAAACTTGGCATTGTGAAATTCTGTTCCATGATCGGATCTAATGCAATCCACTTTTGATTCCATCTTCACTTGAATTTTCTTCACAAAGGCTACAAATACTTTGAAGGTCTCATCCTTTGTTCTGAGAAACATCGTCCAAGTGAATCTTGAGTAGTCATCCACTATCACAAAAATGTATCTTTTTCCTCCCCCGATTGGCACTCTCATAGGGCCACATAGATCCATATGAAGTAGTTCAAGTGGATTTGATGTGCTAACATCCTTCTTTGGCTTGAATGAAGATTTCACATGCTTCCCTCTAGCACATGCATCACATACTTTGTGCTCTTTGAACTTTGAATTTGGCAAGCCACGAACCAGGTCCTTCTATATCAGCTTGTTCAGAAGAGAGAAGCTTGCATGTCCCAGCATTCTATGCCACAGTTCGGCATCATCATCAACAGCTTTTAGGCAGCTTATGTCACCACTTTGTAGGGACTCGAAATCAGCAACGTAGATGTTCTTGTATCTTTTAGCCACAAGTACCACTTCACCAGTTACCAGATTAGTAACTGTGCATATCTTTGACAAAAACTCCACTTTGTTTCCCTTATCACAAATTTGAGAAACACTCAAGAGACTGTACTTCAGACCATTGACATAATACACGTTCTCGATTGAGTGTGAGAGAGACTTTCCAATTTTTCAACACCAAGAATGCACCCCTTTTTCCTATTTCCAAAGGATACATTTCCTCCTTGCAGGGCTTTCAGTGAAAGGAAGTCCATGGCATTCCCAGTCATGTGCTTAGAGCATCCACTGTCCATGATCCATTGTTGACTGCTTCCTCTCATTGTTCCCTGCACAAGGAATTCAAGGGTTAGATTTAGGAACCCAAACAAGTTTGGGTCCCTTGTAATGAGAAAAGGGATGAATGAGAGCTCTTCTAGTCCATGCAGGCAACATGCATTTTTTGTGAGTGGCACCTGGTCCTCTTCCAGTAGTTACTTTTTCGGCAAAAACTTTGTTTTTCTGAACAGACTGGACTCTGGCTTGGCAATTTTTCTTGAAATGCCCATTATTCCCACAGTGGGTACAAAGCCAGTTATCAGATACAGTGATGTACTTGCTATGAGGGTTATAGGGAACTTTCTCCCTTTGGAACCCTATTCCCTGCCTGTTTCCACCATTATTAAAATACATAGCAGTAATAGCATTTGAAGACCAGGTCCACTTAAGAGATTTCTCAAGATCATTTTTTACTTTTTCCAATTCTGCTTGAAGCTGCCTATTTTTCTCAAGCTCTTCACATAAACTAGTTTTCACAATATTCAGCTCATTTTCAAGTTTAATATGTGCCTCACTAGCAATTTTCTTTCCTTTTTCAGAATTTCCAGGCTTAGAGTCTGCTTTAAGTTCCTCAATTGTTTCCTCTAGGTCTGCAATCACCACTAGGAGATCATCTCTTTCTTGCTCAGTGATAGCAACTTTCTCCACTAAGGCATTCTTTTCTTTACTAAGGTTCTCAGTGGTTTATTTCAAGTCAACTACAACTACCATCAAATCATCTCTTTCATGTTCTACACTAGCAATTTTTTCTGTTAGAACCTCCTTTTCATTTTTCAGATTTTTTATGGTTTCCTTCAAGTCAACTGCACAAACAACCATGTCATCATTAGTCTGCTCAACATTTCCTAACTCTATGGTTAAGGCATCCTTATCACTCACCAGACTATGATATGCATCAATCAATACATTAGCTAATGACATGAGTTTTTTAGGAGAATAGGATTTCAGATTTCTCTGAACATCCCTAAAATTTACCGTATCATTGTCATCGTCTTCATCATCGTCTGACTGATCCATTAAGGTGAATATTGAATCATATTCATTTGCTTCACTTTCAACTGCCAACATGGAGCTATCACCTGCATCATTTTCTTCTTCAGACTTACTGGAGGAGTCTCCCCATGCTGCAAGAGCTTGCTTCACAACATTGTCAGCTGTGTTTTTTCTTTTGAAGCGTTTGTCAGGAACCGGATTCCTCTTGGCTGCTTTATCAGAGTTGTGCTTGAAATGTTCTTGCTTCAGAAGAGGACAGTCCTTGATGAAATGCCCTGACTTTCCACACTTATGACAGAGGTCATAATTCTTTGGTTTGCTGGAACTACCTCTATTTGGTATACCTTCATTCCTTCGAACCATTTTTTGAAACCTTCTGGTAAGGTATGCCATATCGCTATCCTCCTCACTCGAATGATTGTTTTCAGCTTTGAATACCAGGTTCTTCTCCTTCTTTGGTTCTCTTCTTTCACTGTCCTTCTTTCTCTTCATCTCATAGGTCTTCAGATTTCCAACCAGCTTGTCCATAGTCAGTGTTTGTAGACCTTTGGCTTCATTAATAGCGTCCACCTTACTCTCCCAGGAGCTGTATAAAACGCTAAGAACTTTTCTCACGAGCTTGTTCCTAGGAATGATTTCTCCAAGAGAGTGTAGCTCATTTATAATGGAAGTGAATCGAGTATGCATGTCTTGAATAGATTCATCATCCTTCATTTTAAAGAGCTCATACCTAGTGGTGAGCATATCGATCTTGGACTGCTTTACTTGAGTTGTTCCCTCATGTGTCGTTTTTAGAGCTTCCCATATCTCCTTGGCGGATTGATAGGCTGGGATCATATTATATTCATCAGGTCTTATGCCACACACCAAAATCTTTTTGGCGCGAAAGTTCTTTTCTACAGTTTTCCTGTCGGCATCATTGTACTCTTTCCTGGTTTTTGGCACCATTACAACAGGTTCTCCTACCTTCTTTGTTGGGACATATGGACCATCGCAAATAACATCCCATAACTCGTAGTCTTCTGCCATTATGAACTCATGCATTCGAGTTTTCTACCAGCCATAGTATTGGCCGTTGAATCTCGGGGACCTGTAGGTTGATTGTCCTTCCTCGAAGTTTGGTGGAGCAGCCATGGTGAGGATCCTCTCTAGGTGTTAACCTTTTAGAAAGAACCCACTCTGATACCAATTGATAGAATGTATGAGTCCACCAAACTGTATAGAGACCTGGTCCTATACCAGTTCCTACAGAAATAGCTAATGAACCAGTAAGTAAATGACACAGAAAATTTTACGTGAAAAAATCTATGCTCAAGGGGATAAAAAATCACGACCTACACTTGTAAGATTTCAACTTTACTACTTGAGAAATCTTTAGATTACAACCTATTGTAACCTATGAATTAAACTCTTAATCCCTCACTAACTTGTAATACACCTATTACAAGCCACTTTGCAATACACCTATTACAAAGACTTCAACTCATGAGTAACTCTCGTCATGATACAAACTCTAAGGGTTTATGATTTTTGGAGGTTCCTAGTTAAAGCTTCTAAATAAGCAAAGTAGGAATTACAATGAAAAACTAATACAAAAATACAACTCAACTAAGGACATACAAAAGACTTGTGGTAGGAACTGGTCCGTAGTAGTGTTGTACTTTGTTCTTGATGCACTTGTGACTTCAATGCTTGATTATCAGATCTTGAGTGCTTGAATTATTTCACAAGTGTTCAAGTGATATTTTGTTGTAATGCTTCTTGTTAATATCATTTGGATGACATCACTTGGATGATGTAAACACTTGATTGGTAAAAAACCCTTCCCAATGGGAAGTGACTGTTGCACTGTTTCTGTACTGTAGCATGCATAGTGCAGGCAGTCACTTTCCAACTGTAGAGTTGACTTCGCACTGCTATCAGGAAAACTCAAAGGGATCGGGTCCCTGAGTTGATTCTTTTCTGTCTGAAGTCATACATCACACATTAGCTTGAGTCCGTTGATATAGATATATACCAAGTGTACATCAGGTCCTTTATCTGGTTCTTAATAATAAGTTTGTTAGATCATCAAAATATAAGTCTAAGATATTTTAAACCCATCAATTATGTACATAAATTTAAAATTTGAATAATATATCAGTTTTTCTCTATACTTATCTTTACTTTACGGTCATTATTTTATAATACTCTTGAACTTGTCTCGAAACATTAATTATACACTGTATGTCAACATCTTTGAAAGAAGATTCTGGCCTCACTTTAGCACCCACGAAGATATTCTTGTTGAAGTACAAAGAAAGAGTGGCTACTGCTATGGGTCGTCTAGTAGGGTGTATAAGAATAGTATTAATTACTATTATGATTAGATTATTTCATATCAATCCTTTGATTTGGTGTATTAAAGATTTTGAAAGGACAAATTTATTTTTATACATATTTATTCATATATTAAAAACTATAATATTGTTATTGGCATAGTTTATTATATATAAGAATGATATGGAATACAGTATATATATAACTAATACTTGTATTAGTTATATATAAATTAAAAAATACTACCAAATAAGAAATTAATAATATAAAGTTAAGATGTACTAGTATTATTTTTCCAAATACATCATGCGGAACGACCTCTAGTGTTTCGTGTTATTTGTACATTATGCCTTTTTATAATTTTAAATTTGAGAAAATGACTTTTTTAATTCTTATGTGTAAAAAACAGATCTCTTACATATAAAAATAAATCTTGTATGTATAAAAAAAAAGTAAGGTCATAAAACTAAAAACAAGTTTTTATTGACCAAAAAAATCAATTGACCCTTGTGTTTCTTTAGCTTTCTTTTTATTTTTATCTTTTGGTTAAATTAAGGTCAATAATAGTATATAATATTTGGTGCACACCCCAAAAATATATATAGATAGAGACAGACACAGAAAGATTCTTTAACAGATTTTGATAAGCATCAAAATAGCAATTTCCTTATATTGTGGGGACCTACTCTTGTCTTCTTCCATGTCACCTCAAAAATCTTCAACAATTCTCTCTCCCATTTTCCTTTCTTTTTTTCTCTCACACACACACAAAGATACCAAGAAAGTATCTAATTGTGAATCTTTAACAAACCAATACTACAAATAAACCAAAAAGCTACAATCTTTACAGTAGAATATTCAGTTTGAATACACAAAAAGAAAGAACAATTGTGTGTTGTTGTGTTACAAGTGAGTAATATGGGAAAAGTGGTGGTGGGTGCAGCAGTAGTATGTACAGCTGCAGTATGTGCTGCTGCTGTTTTATTAATGAGGCACAAAATGAAAAATTCAGGTAAATGGGCTAAAGCTATGGATATATTGAAAGAGTTTGAGGAGAAATGTGAAACTCCAATAGGAAAATTAAGGCAAGTGGCTGATGCTATGACTGTAGAGATGCATGCTGGTCTTGCTTCTGAAGGTGGTAGCAAACTCAAGATGCTTATTAGCTATGTTGATAACCTCCCCACTGGGTGAGTCTTTGTGTGTGTGCGCGCGCGCGCGCATAAACTGATTGTTTGCTTATTTGGGTATCAAGAAATTGTGTCTTTTTTCAATAAAGTTGTGTTCTTGGAGGTGTTCTAAATATATATGTGTGCTTAAACTGATTTTTGCTCATTTGGGTGTCATATAATTGTGTCTTTTTTCAATAAAGTTGTGATCTTGGAGGTGTTCCAAATATATATGTGTGCTTAAACTGATTTTTGCTTATTTGGGTGTCATATAATTGTGTCTTTTTTCAATAAAATTGTGATCTTGGAGGTGTTCTAAATATACTATATAGTGCTTAAACTGAATTTTGCTTATTTGGGTGTGGAAAAATTGTGTCTTTTTTCCAATAAAGCTGTGATCTTGGAGGTGTTCTATATATTTGTGTGTGCTTAAACTAATTTTTTCTTATTTGGGTGTCATATAATTGTGTCTTTTTTCAATAAAGCTGTGATCTTGGAGGTGTTCTCTCTCTCTCTCTCTCTCTCTCTCTATATATATATATATATATATATATATGTGCGCGCGCGCTTAAACTGATTTTTGCTTATTTGGGTGTGGAAAAATTGTGTCCTTTTTCAATAAAGCTGTGATCTTGGAGGTGGTTCTAAATATTTAGAAATCTTACTCTCATGATTTTACTTTCTAGGGTGGAGTTATATCAGTTTTGTGTGTGTATATATGTGCTTAAACTGATTTTTGATTGTTTGGGTGTCATATAATTGTGTATTTTTCAGTAAACCTGTAATCTTGGAGGTGTTGTAAATGTTTGGAAATCTTACTCTGTTGATTTTAGCTTCTGGGGTGGATTTATATCATAGGGGTGTGTGTGTATGTGCATTAACTGATCTTATGCTTATTTGGGTGTGGAAAAGTTGTGTCTTTTTTCAATAAAGCTGTGACTTGGAGGTGTTTGTAAATGTTTAGGAATCTTATAGCCTGTTTGTCAAAACTTTTAAGAGGCCAAAAGTGCTTCTTCTTCTTTTCTTTTTTTTTTTTTTTTTTTTTTTTTTTTTTTTTTTTTTTTTTTTTTTTTCAAAAGCACTTTTTTTTTCTAACTTGAGGTGTTTGACCAAGTTTTTTTTGGGGAAAAAAAGTGCTTTTGGGAAAAAGCACAAGCAGTTTTTGAGAAGCAGAAAAAAGTAGCTTCTTCCCAAAAACAGAAGCAGAAGCAGTTTTGACTTTTCTTCTTACCAAAAATACCCTTAATAAAATATAGTATATACCAAAATAACCGTTAAACCTAATACTTAGAATATTAATGTATAAATATTTCTTATTATTTTTAGGATAGTTTTCTAATATATAGTTGTCTGTATATATGTGCCTAAGCTGATTATTGCTTATTTTGGTGTCAAAACAAATTGTGTCTTTTTCAATAAAGGTGTGACCTTGGAGGTGTTGTAAATGTTTGGAAATCTTACTCTGTTGATTTTAGCTTATGGGGTGGAGTTACATCAGGTTGTCTATTGATTTTAGCTTCTGAGGTGTATATATGTGCATAAGCTGAATTTTTGCTTTTTTGGGTGCCTTAAAATTGTTTCTTTTTCAATAAAGCTGTGATCTTGCAGGTGTTGTAAATATTTAGAAATCTCGCCCTGTTAATTTTAGCTTCAGTTTAACGTATGGTATTACTTTTATTCCTTCATCTTAGGGACGAAACCGGTCTGTTTTATGCATTAGATCTAGGCGGCACAAACTTCCGTGTGATGCGAGTGCAGTTGGGCGGGAAAGAAAAGCGTATAGTTAAACAAGAAGTTAAAGAAGTTTCAATTCCAAAGAATGTGATGGCTGGATCATCATCTGATGTAAGTATAAGCTGTATCATCTTTGCAACCGGCAATCTTGTTTCATCCACTCAGGGTTATTACCATATGATTAAACTTCGAACTGCTAACTGCAGGCGTTATTTGATTTTATTGCCACGGCGCTTGTAAAATTTGTTGCTACAGAAGACGACGATTTTCGTCTTCCACCCGGTAGACAAAGGGAGCTGGGCTTCACCTTCTCTTTCCCAGTTAAACAACTGTCAATTGCATCAGGGACTCTTATTAAATGGACAAAGGGCTTCTCCATCGATGATACGGTTAGTCATTCGATTCTCTGATTTTCACATCCAATCGATCATGCAACAGTGAACCTAGATTTAGTCGTCATTTTAATGTAGGTTTTTGCATTGATTGGGATTTAACACATACGACTTTATACATACAAAGTAATTTGGAGCTGAGGTGTAGTTGATTGATTATTTGATTGCGTTTTCACCGACTTGATTTAAAAGTACGTTAGAAAATTTCCTTTTCGAACTATATTTTATTTCAGTGTTGAACTACTCCTGATGAAATCTAACATAGGTTGGGCAAGATGTTGTTAGAGAGTTAACAAAAGCAATGGAAAGGGTCGGTCTTGACGTGCGCGTGGCTGCTTTGGTAAGTTTTGCTCCAGATTAAATTCTGTGTGAATTCCTATAAAGAAGAAGTGTGCTGATGATGTTCGTGTATTATGTTTTTTGTATGTCTGACATTTCTGATTATTAATCTTATGTAATTCTTGGGTGTTTAGGTCAATGATACTGTTGGAACATTAGCAGGAGGTCGGTATAACAACCCTGATGTCATTGCTGCAGTAATATTGGGTACTGGAACCAATGCAGCATATGTTGAGCGGGCAAATACAATTCCCAAATGGCATGGCCTGCTGCCTAAATCAGGAGATATGGTAGCTTCTTGTGACATTCATAATGCGTTTGTGACTTGATATATGCCTAATTCATTCTTCAAAAATATTTTCCTTGGTGTCGGAAACCTTATGGTTGTGATCAAACTAAGCATGAATCTCATGTTTGTAACGTTAACGTAATTTTGTTTGGTATTTGAAGGTTATTAACATGGAATGGGGTAATTTCCGCTCATCACATCTTCCGGTAACAGAATACGACCAAAGTCTTGACACTGAGAGTTTAAACCCCGGGGAGCAGGTAACAAAAACAACCCCCTTCCATTTTCTGCATTTTTCTATCTTACATCTGATTTTGAACTATTGGCAACTGAGCAGATTTATGAGAAGATGATTTCCGGGATGTATCTTGGAGAAATTTTGCGCAGAGTCTTGTGTAGAATGGCTGAAGAAGCTTCATTTTTTGATGATTATGTCCCACCGAAACTGAAAACTCCATTCATATTGAGGTAGGTATTTCTTTAACTGACACATTTACTATGGTTGCGCTGGGAGTTATTTATTTTCTAGCAGCCGCAAGCCCAACTCTTCCTTTCTAAAGAAATGCCACAAAACATGCAGGACTCCGGACATGTCTGCTATGCATCACGACAAGTCTGCTGATCTCAAGGTGGTTGGCGACAAGCTGAAGGATATCTTAGAGGTAAATAAAGTCCTGTGTTTATTAATATCAAACATTCGACTAAAGTGAAACATTATCAATTTTTGAAGTTTGTCATCTATTTCAGCCTTTATATGAGTTAAACCACGAAACATTCCTAAAGCTGGCTAAGCTTAAGTGGAGAACGACGTATTACTCATCCTATTTGCTATATATATTTTTGTCACAGGTACCTAATTCTACCTGGAAAATGAGGAAAATAATTGTAGAGCTATGTGACATTATTACCTCTCGTGGAGCTCGTCTTTCTGCAGCAGGAATTGTGGGCATCCTCAAGAAATTGGGAAGAGACACTTTGAAGGATGGAGAGAAGCAGAGGTCAGTAATAGCTGTTGACGGCGCATTGTTTGAGCATTACACAAAGTTCAGAAATTGCATGGAGGGAACTATCAAAGAGTTGTTGGGAGACGCTGCGGAAAGCATAGTCATTGAGCTTTCGAATGATGGTTCAGGCATTGGAGCTGCACTATTGGCTGCTTCTCATTCACAATATCTCGGACTCGAGGAATCTTGATCATGGTCAGAGTGATAGAAAAAGCCTGAGATGGTTTCTACATTTTGTATCGCCCCATACCTCGTAAAAGAGAACCCTCTTCTTTCGCCCCATACATTTGGGTAATGATGATGATATGAGTTGAGCTTAATGAAAAAGTGAGGATTCATATCGTCGACCCCAACATGTTTGGGACTGAGTCGTAGTAGTAGTTGTCATTTAGTTGCCACATTTTTTTTGTAATCTTTACAAGATTCACTATTGCCAATAAGTTTTAGTAGTGAGGTAGTTCAATCTTCCTTGGTTATTTTTTCTTGATTTGTTAGGAAGCCTATCCTCCTTTCATTTAGTTTAGGACTTTAATATTTTCTTTTTGTCAGTTATTAGTGAGAAAAGAAAACATTGAAAAAGGAAAATTTCTGTAGCAAAACAATGCCAAGCAACAATATGGATCTAATACAGTATGTACAATCCTAGTTTTTCACTATCTAATACATCATCTTTGGTCTTATTCTTTGCTATTATGAAGGGGAGCCTTGGCGTAACTGGTAAAGTCACTGTCATCTGATCAGGAGATCACGGGTTCGAGCCGTAAAAACACCCTCTTGTAGAAATGCAAGGTAAGGCTGCATAAAATGTACCCTTGTGGTCCGCCCCTTCCTCGGACTCCGCGTGCACTGAGCTGCCCTTTTATTCTTTGCTATTCTCACTATCATATATTCTAATGCCATCAAATAAGTGATGTAAAACCAACATCATCATTTTCTGCAATCCTTTCACTCCTGGAATTCTTGAGAAGTGGTGAAACATCATGTTCTGTTTCATCTTTCTTTTCACCAGATGTAGGTGAACTGCTGTTGCATTGGAGCAAGATTTGCAAAACTTCCTTCATTGTAGGCCTTGATGAAGGAAATGTGCTAGTGCAAAAGATTCCAAGCTTAAACACAGTGCAGATTTCATCCAAGTATCCCGATTCTTTGATGTTTTCATCTAAAGTGTCGACTATTGGGTGTCCTTTTTGTAGTTGGCGCCATGCCCAGTCTGCAAGACATGAATCTTCGTCTCCAAAATTGGCTTCTTTTCTGGTCACTAGTTCTAAAAGGATGACTCCGAAGCTATACACATCAACCTTCTCAGTCACTCTTGTTTTACGCGCATACTCTGCAACACCAACATGAGAATGTCAACTGTTAAGATATAACTAAGTAAATAAAGTATGCTATTTCTAATAGCTTAAGCTTTTAGATCAGATGATCACATAATTGATATGCTATCGGAGCATGCAGAGGTCCTGAGTTCAGAGTTTAGTAAGCTTTCAGATGAGATGGTCATACAACTCAATAAGGTATCAGAGTAGGCTCTAAGTTTAAATTTCACCACCATTTACTATCAACAAGAAATTTCACGTGCTTGGTCTATGAAAAAGAATCAGGTTCATGCGTGAGGGCCTGTATTGAGACATAATTAAGTAAATAAAAATTTGTTCTCTCTAATAACTTAAGTTTTTAGATGGGATCGTCACACAATTCAATAACATATATGTGGTTTTATCTAGGTAAGAGATCGAGCTAACTTCTTAACTCTTAAATTTAATGATGCTATATGAGTTAATGGTTCTATACCTGGAGCAATGTACCCAAAAGAGCCAGCTACTGTTGTCACTGTGTTATCTCCAGGCTTGAGTAATATCCTGGCTAGGCCAAAATCTGCAATTTTTGCATTGAATTCAGTATCCAATAGGATATTACTTGACTTCACATCGCGATGAATAATAGGTGGCGAGCAATCATGGTGCATGTAGCAAAGACCGCGAGCAGCTCCTATCGCAATTTGCAGCCTCTTAGGCCATTCCAACACCAAATGTGGTGCTAAACCTGAGACATTGTTCAATCTCTTCTTTGAATGAAGCCATATATCCAAACTCCTATTCTCCATATATTCATACACAAGAAGCTTTGACTCTTCACTGGAAATGCAACACAGCAATTTTACTATGTTGGAATGTCGAATCGTGCCTAATATCTGAACTTCTGCTAGAAACTCCCTCTCAAGCTTGTGATCCAACCTTTGGTTGCTGCTCCAAATCCTCTTAACAGCAACACAGTTTCCTGATCGGCTTAAGGGCACGAGGTAAACCTGTCCTGATCCTCCACTTCCTATCGTGTTGTTATCAGTCAGATAGGATAAAATATCTGATTCTGTGAAGTCTAACTTGTGGAATGATGTCTGCTTCCATGTCGAGACCAATTCTTGCTTTCTTTTTCTATGACTTCTCAACACAAAAACACTATACAAAACCGCCACCAGAAAAGAGACTGCTGCTACACTACCAAGAACAGCAACAAGTTTAACTGGAAACTTGTCTGACTTTGTTTTCCCCTTACAAGAACTAAGTCCAACTAATGGATTACTTGCACAAAGACCGGGATTATTCAAGAAACTCTTATCGAAAGCTGCATTCTCTAACTGAGCTGGGATTTTACCCGATAGGAGATTTGATGACAGGTTAAGTGAAGTTGGAATCAACTTACCTAATTCAGTTGGAATATCACCTGAAAATTGATTACTTGACAAGTCCAAAACACTGAGTTTTGGTAAAAGGCCAAGTGCAGTTGGGATTTGGCCTGATATCTGATTCTTGCTACAACTTAAAGTAACAAGAGATCTCCATGAGGTAATATTAGATGGAAAATTACCAGAAAGTAAATTACCATCCAACAAAAGTACAGTTAATTCTGGTAAAACAGTCGATTCTTGAGGGATTTCACCACTTAAGAGATTATTACTTGCCCTGAATACACTTAAACTGTGCCAACTACCCATTCCAGTTGGTAACTCGCCCGAAAACTTGTTGTTTCTGATATCAACTAAGGATAAATTTGATCCCACTTTATCTGGAAGTTGACCACTGAACAAATTATCATTGATCAACAAAGTTGACAGTTTCTCAGCTGTCCATAATCCATCAGGAATCTTACCAGAAAGACGGTTATTCTCAACGCGAACGGACTTCAAACTGTCACAATTTCCAAGTGAATCAGGTAGTTCACCTGTAAGTTTATTCTCAAAAACAATCATTTTTGACAAGACCTTGTTGTTACACATACCCTGAGGTAATTTCCCAACAAGTTGGTTTTGTGAAACTTGGAAGTCCTCAAGCTTCGAAAATCGACCAAAATCAGGCGGAATTTCACCTGATAATTTGTTGCCAAACAACTTAACATTAACCAGTGATGGTAATTTGCCTACACTCAAAGGTATTTCTCCTGATAATTGGTTGTAAAACAAAGACAAACCAGTCAACTTAGTCAACTTTCCAAAATCCTCAGGTATTTTTCCAGTCAAGCTGTTATTACACAGATCAATAACATCTAAATTCAATGACAAAATTGTCTGAGGAATTTCCCCTGATAATCTGTTGTTGTAAAGATAAACTATAGTCAAATTCTTGATCTGAAATACACCACTAGGAATATTACCACTTAAGCCATTTAAGGACAAGTCTAAAAATTCAAGACTTGTCATATTACCAATATTTTCAGGTATTTCTCCAACTAAATTTGCTTCTGTCATCCAAAAATTCCTCAGTTTTTTTAACTGAGTAAAACTTGATGGTATTTCTTGCGGAGCAAAACCATTGAAACTTAACACTAAAGATTCAAGATTCAACAAGTTACCTATTTCTATAGGAAAACTGCCACCAAATAAATTCCCCGCGAGCACGAGTTCTTTAAGCTGATCATTTAAGTCACCAATTGTTGAAGGGATATCACCATTGAAGTTGTTTGAAGTCAAGTTAAGGACTTGAAGATTAACCGAAAGACGATTAATATCATCAGGTAGTGTACCATTCATGTAGTTAAAAGAAAGGTCTAAAAATTCAAGATTTGAACAGTTGTAAAGTATAGTAGGAAAAGGTCCAGGAATAAAGTTGTGGTTCAAATCCAGAAAGGTGAGATTTTTAAGATCACAAATGAATGATGGGATTGGTTCAGAAATTTGCCCAAAATAAATCTGAATTCCTGTAACTGAATTATGGTTACAAATTATTCCTGGCCAAGAACAATGATTTGAAGATGAGTTCCAGCTTGTGATATTAGGAGAAGTAGACCAATGTTGTTTTAATTTGAGTAAAATGGTATTTTCTTGATTGGAATTTGGCTGAGAATTCGCATTGAATGTGTAAAACAGAAAGGTGAGAATGGAAAAGAGGATTTTGGGAGTTGAGATTATTATTTTTTTGGACATTTTTGTGATTTTCTAGTGAAGAAATTAGCTTCTAAGGGTGCTGCGAATTTACATGTAGCAGAGTTTTTTCAAGAATTGACAAGATGGTTTGTTGTAGATTGGTATAAGGTGGTGGGATCAATGTGAATACTATTTGGTCAACTTTGATTATATAAACTTTTTGATAACTAAAAATTCAAATACTGTGTTGTTTTCTTGTTCAGCCCATTGTTAGTTGGTTGACTTTGACTAAGGGATTGTCTGGTTAATTATACAGGGATTATAATATATAGATTGTTTATATGATGATTAATAATCAATGAATAGTAATCTTGTAGATAATAATTAAGAGATTATCATTCACATGATAGAAAAATCATAATGAAGAGATTGTAAGTTTGTAACACATGAATTACTTACTTAAAAGAACAAGAATTACTTACTTTAAAATGGCATTTTGTCTTTAAATAGTTTTACTCACGTGCTGCTAATGTATGAACTCTTAATTGACATTATATTTTCGTTTAAAATAATACATAAATTTTCGCATAATTTAATGTAAGTATCATTTAATGCCAATCAAACATTGCATTAATTAGGCGATGATTATTTTTCTTACTAGTATTAGCATCTGCGCGGACACTAACCATGTCAAATATTTGAGTTATTTGGATTATATATAAATAATCTTAAAATTTAAATTTTCTCGATAAATATAGATAATCATTGGATATTAATTAGGCAATACTACATGAAAAAGATTAACTATTTCTCAAATCTCCTAGTTATAATTCTATTTTTTCTTTTTGGTACAATTCTCATCGATGTCATTGGATCTTAAAAATAGCCGGGAAACAAAATAATAACTCATATTTATGGCAAACACAATCAAATATTAAGACTATGAAGGACTCTTTGGATATGACTTAACTCTTTTACTACTACTTGAACTCTTATTTGGTGTGTTGATATCTTTCAAAAAATATTTCTATTTTAAAATTTCAGTTTCTAAAATTTATTTTTCAATAATAATTATTTTTATAATAATATAAGTGAAAATATTATCCTTATT